AATAAAAAAAGGACTTCAAAATGTCTAGAAATTCAGTAAACAATTCAATAATGGTGAATCTGTGGTTTATTTAACCATTCTGCCAACTTGTTGAACCAGCTCATTACTGTCGTTTCAGATGACTTGGTTAAACAGTTTGACAGGATGGTTAAATAAACCACAGATTCACCATTATTGCTTTGTTTACTGAATTTCTAGAAATTTTAAAGTCTTTTTTTTATTTTTTATTGATTTTTTTATTTTTTTGACATTTTTTTGAATTTTTTGGTTTTTGAATGTACTGGCGGCCACTTTTCTATATTAAAAAGCTGGTGCACAGATATAGCAAATGTCTCAATCTCTCTGGTGATTATGTCAAAAAGTAACCATAAATGGACCAAACTTTTGGTAATAAATTTAATGTTTTATATGAACTTGTCTTTTGTTCATAGCCTATCGGAGGTTGAAAAAAAAAACAACCCTCGTAGAACAAGTACATCCAGGATCTGATGGAATAGTACGTGTGGTCACCTTAAAAACAACAAGTGGAATAATCAAACGATCCATCTCAAAACTGATTGTGATTCCAACGGACTGATCTTGAGATACAGGGTATCTCAAGGGGCGGAGAATGGTTAGACTTTACCATCAATTCTTTCTTAAATCATGTGTTTCTAATTATTAAAAAATGTTAGAGTTTACTTAAAAATGTAAATACAATATGAGTTGAGTGAGTAAATCAATGTGAAAACCAAGTCCACTTTTTCTGAATTAATATCTATAATTTCTTTAAGATCTTTAAGCAAGCATACATACATATACAAGCAAACATTGCTAATATAAGAATATGATATAAAGAAAGTGGGTCAGCATCACTGAATCATTGAAAGCGAACTCAAGAAATCAATCAAACGCAAGGAGGGGCGAAGCCCTAAAGGGAATTAATTTCCTGTTGAGTTACTATTCGTGTCTCTCTCCGCTAGTTCATAACCTTAACAATACCCCCCCCCCCCCCCCGGCAAAAAACCTGCCGACTAAGAAAATTTCTATTTGTCTGGATTGGTTTTCAATTAATCTATAAAATTAACATTTATGGTTAACGAGTACCTAGGTTTGCTGCTACAAGGAAACTAATAAAGTGGGGTTTTTAGTAAAATATTAATAGCTTAGTATAAAATTAATAAATTTGCCAAGAAAAAAAATTATTTTTTATGCGGACAGCCAAGGAAAAGGGGTTTCGTAGCTTGTTGCTAAGTGCAGCCAGGGTAAAGTCCTGATGGATGGGGTAGTCAAACCAGGAGCGGGGAATTGAATTCATATACAATCAAGCTGCTAAATCTCAGACGAGACCTTTAATTTTGTTGGCTGGTACAATTGATGTATCAGTGAACTCTCCTCGCATTGTATATGGAAAAATGGAAGGTGAATTTAAAAAAATTAGTAAAACCAGACCAGTATTTATAACAACCCTCCCTACTCGTTATGATAAATCTTCTGATGACGTCATACACTACAACATATACCTCTGGCAAATAACTACATCCGGGAGTTGGTTGCTCCCATTAACAACAGACATATTATTTATTTTGACCTCTTTGATAGACAGCACTTCACACGCCACGGGATGCACCTAAATAATAATGGGAAAAGGATTCTCACCTATTTCAATTCGCAAAAAAATGTATTTGAATGTACAACTGCTAAAGAAAATGAAGGCCAATTTCAATTGCTCACCACTGAAGCAATTCCTAACAACAGTTTTGAGTAGACAAGATCTATTGAGGTGACTGACAAAGTGAAAACATAATATAGATAGGTATGTACAAATAAGAACTTGAACTCTTAGAGAGCCGTTGAATGTTATTAGACAAACGAAAAGTCTTCTGCATGTTTACTAGCGCTACTCGGCAACAAAAACCATTTCATTTATCTCAAAAAAATATATTCTTAAAGTGCACTGAGCAGCAGCCTAAAAAAATGCTCAAACTCGCATTGTGACATTTATAATTCGGCTTATATTTCTCCAACAGATAATTCATCTGCAGAAGAAATTTATTGTGCTCTTACCATGTCTAATAACATCCAAACACAGAAACCTTGCCTAAAATGGTACCTATCTTGACAAATTATTTGCAGTGGCCTATACTACGGACCGTGGCCCACTGGGTTGGTAACATTATTGAAAATAACACGACATTTTGGCTGTAAAAAATTGCCCAATGAGTAAATACTATTTAAGCAGCTACTGTCATGACAGAAAGGTCATATTCCTTTTAAACTAGATCACATCATCCTTTATAAGATATGTTGATTAACAATAATGCATGTAAACGTCAATATTTACGTATCAGCCAATTTACATTATTTTTTGCTTTTTGGAAATGCCACATTGCTATTTCATTTGCATTATTTGTTGTCAATGAAGCCGCACGACCATATAAACGAGGAGGCCCCTAACAGTTCAAGAATAAAAGCCAACTTCACTTCAAGTATATTCCACTACACCTAACGTTCCGTAGAGAGATTATATTGACTACTTTATGAAATTGATAAGGCTGATACAACTAACTGGCATCCCCCATGTCAAGAAATTCCAGCTTGAACAGTAACCCCACAACCAATTTCTCAAAACTGTGCTAGAGGGTTATTCATTGGCACAGAAGTACGATATGAACTGACGCAACGTGATGAAGGAAAAATCAAACGTACACTGTATCGGATATATGTACCTCCCATTGAAGTTAGAACATGTCTGCCCAACAAACTCAAACAAATTTTTTTTTTCAAATAAAATCATAGATTAATCTGCATTACACTGATGAAATCACAGAAGTGTTTAACTACAAAAGATCCACCAATACGATTTTAATACTATTTAAAGGTTCTTCCAAAGGAAGAGGTACCAGATAACATACTAATAATAACTCCGATGACGTACGGTATAGGAAATATTTTATTCATTGATTAATCAACCATTTTTGGTAACTAACGCAATTAATATCATTATTGTTTTTACACTTATTACTCTTTAAACAATGCTAAATGCTCAAAATATGTATAATTTCACTCAATTTATCGCAGTTAGATGAATTAGCGTAAGCCTTGAAAGTAACCGTCGATTTCGACAGGTTTTAATTATTATTACAGTATTATTATTATTATTGTATAGAGAGGACTGCTTTAAATTTGCTTATATCTTATCTCTCTTACAGAAGACAGTTTGTTGAAATTATCTATCATAACCGTAAAAACTATAAAAATTCCATATCAATCTTATACCACTGACTTTAAATATGGGGTTCCGCAGGGATCCATTCTGGGCCTTCTTTTGTCATTTATTTAAGAGATTTTCTGCAACTCAGTAATTTAAGTAAACTCTGCTCATATGCTGATGATACCAATTTGAAAATCGTAGCCCCAACCAATGTACAATTAGAAAGAAAGGCAAAATCAGACATATAAGTTTTAAATGATTTTTTAAACTCCCAAAATCTAAATCTCAATGTTGATAAAAAAAGTATCATAAATTTTCAAACTCGACCAACCAGAAAGCAACCTTGGCCGATTATTGAATTTAACAATAAAACCATTGAAGTTAAGAGAAGTGCTAAATTTTTAGGATTAGTTATTACTAATCCTAATACCGTTGGATATATATATTGAGCAGAAGAAATTTATTGCTCTTATAAGTTTAATGCTGCTCAAGAACTTTAACTATGCTTTAATTAATTAAAAAAATTGCAAAAAAAACTCAATAATATGAATTATTTTATTAATTCATGATGAATAAATATCAGTTTGAATGAATAATGTGACACTATTCATGTATATATTCCTAATGTACTTTGATGAATAAATATAATTTGAATTGAAGTTTAGGACCCACTGCAAAACCCACAGTTAAATGTTCGGCAGTTTGTCTACTGACAAAAGACTAAATTGGAACTGTCATGTTGAAAAAGTGCACTGTGTGCACTGTCCCACCTAACTACATTGGTCGGGACGCAGGCGACTAGTTTGTCCAACTAGTTGCCGATTTCAGTTGAACAGTCTTCCCGTGTGTCGACGGCCTAAAACCATTGAAGTTAAGGGTAGTACTAAATTTTTAGGATTAGTAATACATAAAAGACTAAATTGGAACTGTCATGTTGAAAAAGTACTTTCAAAAGTTTCTTCCGGATTATATGCCTTAATTAGATTTAAAAACTATTGCGAAAGAGAAACTTTGAAGGTAGTTTACTGTTTACTTTTCATACATACATTCAGTGATTTCATTTGGGATTTCCATTTATGGCTCAACCAATAAGAGAAACTTAAAATCTACATTAAGAATGCAAAAATAGCTATAAGAATAATTTTAAACCTTCTACATAGAACTTCTGTTAAGAGAAAGTTTAAATCAGAAAATATAATGACAGTTTTCGGTACCTATCTATGTTTTTGAAACTGTGGTACTGTATCAGTTAAAACAGATTACATGAAATAGAGCTGTGGTTGGATAGAAACATGATTATCTTACAAGAAATCGAGGCAGCTTAGCATTAAGTCCTCATAAATTGCACCTTTTTGAATAGAAACCTAAATACGCCAGTACAAAATTCTATAATAAACTTCCAAAGGACATACAAGCAGAAGAAAATATAAAAAACTTAAAAAACAAACTTAAGAGATTTCTCATTAGCAGGGCTATATTTATTCATTTGATGGACTGTAATTGACTTCTCTTTCTCCTCTAATCAAAGTATGTTTTAACTTTATTTATATCATTTTCTGTTGGTTCATTGTTCTTTTACAATTTTTCTCCTATTTACTATAAGCATGTATATTTTATTATAGCTTTATCATTAAGAAATGTGACACTATTCATGTATATATTCCTAATGTACTTGATGAATAAAGATAATTTGAATTGAATATAATTGAAGTTTAGGACCCGCTTCAAAACCCACAATTTCTATCGGCAGTTAAATGTTTAAAAGTTAAATTAAAAATTAAAATTAAATGTTTCTAGGACTACTTACCAATGGCGTCACAAATCGTGAATGTCTGTAAAAGAATATTATAACTTTTAAAATTGTTAAAGTTTTTTGTTCTTAAACAGTTTACAAAATTACACTTCAAAACATTTAACAATATTATGGTTCTCCTTTTTGGAGTTTCAAAAATAAAGCTGAAATAATAATCTCCCTAGCTTATTAGGTGACTTAAAATTTTGATATTTATAACAAACTTAACTATTTCTAAGTCAGCATAATAATCTACATAACTTAATGGAGAGCTGTTATGTTCCTGTAATCAGTGAAAAAATAAAATAAAAATAAAATTGGAAACTTTTTAGTAATTTTTTTATCAAACGGGGTTTTATTTATAAAAACTAAACCATGTTTTAAACAATGAATTGATAGTTTTATAAATGATTATTGAAACAAATTATACCATTCATTCAAAAATATGCTTATAATTACACAATAAAGTTACAATAAACTACAACATTGTTGTTTAGTTAGAATAGGCTAAATATAAAAATATAAACTTACGGACAAAATAAGCAAGATAGGTAAGATACTCATTTTAGTCAGAAGTAACTTCTCTGGAAGTAAGGTCTGCTAGCTACTAAAAGTTAAAAGGTCTATTTCATAAATAATTAATTGATCAATTTTCTCGGTGACATATTTTTATTTGAATCACATTTTGCCATATGTTCATCAGGGTCACGATCAACCAACTGACAAATTTTATGCTCTAGAATTTTGTTCACTTGAACATTCTGTTCTTTTAACATTGTCAATATCATGGTTTTATAATCCAAGTCCTATGGCAGGACAATTATTTTTTTTTCAAATGGGTCATTCCATGCTAAATCAACTACTAATTTTATCCTGCGTTAACTATTTATTAATTGACCTCTTATATTTGGTTGTCATTTTGTCAGACGTTGAAATCACCAACACTAGTTTTTAAATCTAATGTGAAATTATTATAACTTTTGGTTTTTGAGTTTGAACCCCCGCCGCAGCAAACCTGCAGACTAAGCGAATTTCCATTTGCCTGATTGGATTTACACTAAAATGCCTCCTTAAAAATATCACATTTATTCCCTATTTAAATAACATTAGTTTAACGAGTACTTAGGTTTGCTGCAACAGGGAGGGTAAAAAGGTGTTTTTGTAAAATTTTAATAGCTTAGTATGAAATGAATGCATTATCCAAATTTGATTAAAATATGATCATAAACAAGCAAACTACAACAGTTTACTTATTCTCCATAAGAATAACATGGGAATTTTAAATTTACAGTTTTTTGGAATTTTCTCCGTAATCATTCGGCGCATAATAACGCTTCAATGGTACCAAATTATTTGTTTTTTTAAGCTCTACAAAATGGTTTGGAAAGAAAATGCTAAATTTTAAGTTTTAAGGGTAAAAAATGGGAAAAACTAATTATTGCCCCATAAAACCCCCCATAAACCCCTGTTCCCATAGTCCGATCATGCTGGTTCGCGAACTCGTTCAAATAAACGTAGGTTTACACGTTTGTACCAAATTTCATCAAAATCGGATGGTTTTTGCTCAAGTTATCGCGCTAACAGACACATATATAAATGTATATATATATATATATATATATATATATATATAAATATATGAATTTGAACGGATGGTGTTTTTGGTCTCTAGGGACCTCAAAACGAAAAAGTAAATCGGTCCCGTGTCCAGGTCTTACCATGAGTTCTACGGTAATAGCTTATTCCCTATAGGGGAAATTCGCTAAAACTCAAAAGTTGTTGTTTTAAGCCGTTAAATGATTGTTTAAAAAATCTGTTACTAAAAAAACATACGACCTAGACGGCTAAATTACTAATGAGCGAGAAGCATACAAACATTTTATCGTAGGCGATGAATCTTACTCAAAATCAGTGTTTGACGTTCCTTATTTAACTTCTCTTACCTAACTTTACTTTCTCGAGATGGCGAGCACCCTGGACACGTACAACTTCAATGTATCAGTGAACTATACGGTACCCCAACTATTTATTTTGAGTACACAGGGAAGTTGCTGGAGAAACTGTGACTTACCATTTCGTTCTGTCAAAGAAGTGTGTGACTTGATGTTTAGCAATGCTGTTGACTCCGGTCATTAACTTCCCAACAGCGCTATAAATCTTTCTTATAATCCCCTTGTAAAAAAACAAACAGAACGAAAAAAAAACACTAAAGAGAACCATCGAAATAAAAAGGTAAAGCAGTGATGGATGATGGTGTTAAAAAATGTGCTCTGGAAGTCCCTAAAAAAACACCACCGACTCTTTTAAATTGGGATTGTTAAATTAAATTTGTCCCAGCTGCAAATCTATTCATTTTGAGTCAGAACAGACTAACAGGGACACATAAATATTCACTTTTTGTTGTCACAAGGGGAAGGCAAAATTAGCTCCTCATCAACATTCTGAGTTCATGGAAAATCTTATCACCAGGGCTAAATCGAATATAAAGGAAATGAAAAAAAGTTCCAAAAAAATATTTGAATAATAAGGTCATACAAATCTGCATTTGCTTTGGCGAGTTCTAAGTCTCAGCTGTCTGTACCTGGTTTTTACCATTGATGATAAAAGATAATAGGTAGTTGTTTATTAAATCATTATACCGGGTGTCCCATGTACCCCCCTGGTTAATTTTTGAACGGCTACATATTCAAACGAGCTTCGATACACGTTACTATAGGGTAATGTAAAGTACTTCTTGTGGGTATTTTTAATTCACCCCTACCCCAAAATAAGGGTTGTTGAGGGTAACTTAAAATTTAGCACATAATTTTTAAGGCCATTAGTTTGAATATCAGTGAAAACTAGAGGTTTCTATCTCAATCTATTACAGAATGGCGGTCATTTTTTATTTTTCATCGTCCTGAGAGAGCCCATGTAAAAATAATGTTAGTAATTCCTCACATTATGTTACATAATAATATTATACACCAATATCTCCTATAAGCGTTTTTATGAGTTGTACAATAGGACTATGTTTTATCTATAGTTGTACCAGATAAACTAACTAAACTTATTATTATTGTAACAAGAAAGTAAAAACTTCTATTTGATCAGTATTACAATTTTGCCCGGGACCCCAAAATGGGATATTTTGGGAGCAGCTCAAAATTATTTTACTTACAGCTTTCGTAAGTTTAGACATAGACTAACCAACACAAGGGAGTATGTTTTATCTATGATTTAGACATGTTAATTTAATTCAATTCGTGGGTGAATGTGTCTTTCCCGATAGTCCAGCTTAAGAAAAACGCTTAGTTTTAACTCACGATATAACATATTATGTCAAAAGACCAAAGTTTAAAAAGGGACCGAGCATGGTTTATCTATCGTTTAATTTTCAAACACTACTCTACTAAAAACAACAAACACATAAATACTTCAGCAAAAAATAGCCATTTGTATTATTCTGGTGTAAAATAAAAGATGTGTAAATGTCAAAGACTCTACTGAAAACAGTGAAAACTATATTATGAATTGCAACACTTTTTATACGACCATGCGAAGATATGTAATCTTGTAAACGCTTCCTGCGTTATCAGTGTGGCAGTGGCTCTACTTGTCAGTTTACTTCTTTCTTTAGTTGTTTCGCGGTCGTTGTCGAGTCCGTTTCGCTGTGTTTGGTGAATGTAAACAGTTCGAGTTCAGTGTGCTGTGGTGTATACAAACATTTTGTTGTAATAATATGGACGAAAAGTCTGGATTCCCTCCCGAAACCTATTCAACATCTTACAATCTAAGAAACGAAATAAAGCAGGTATAATTAATTATCTTTGTTTTATAAACAAAATGCCTTATCTTATAAGACATTGTTGTCATAGCAACGGGGTCATGTACCCATAACCTAAAATTTAAGATGAAAGTGACAGATTGGGAACAATTCTAATTTTAGTAACTTATGGTTGCTTTAACCGTCAACATTTATATTATTCTCCTAGTCTTAAATGGTCTACTTGCACAAAGAGAAATAATAAGTTTTAAAAGGTAGAGGTTGTCACAACAAATAACTAACCTATAAACCAGGTAGGCCTAGCTAAAATGTTCCCAACTGTAGACCTAAGTTAAGTTTAGTTGACCTAATTGTATAGTAAGCTTAATTTTTAATGGTGGCATCTTTTAACAAGTCACTACCCAAGGCAAACAATTAATTTACTGAAACTGCGCAAACTAAAACTTAGCCCTCAAAGGTATGCTTAGGATAATCAGAGATATAACTTAGTTTACAGTTCTACCCAGGACTCAAAAAGGTAGAACACCCAAGGTACGGTAACTTATTACGAAGATTTATACTAGTACCTACCTAACTTATCAGGTTTGATGAAATACGATTTCAACTTTTAGTCCTATTTTTCATGGACATTACTCAAGGAATGTTGTGGCTTTTTTATTTAACGTCATCCCTTCCCCCTTCCTGTCTCATTCCAGTTTTGGGTCTGCTTATGCAAAATTCTAATCGGGTAGACTTCCGTATCTGTTGGCAGAAACAACCGAATGAACATATCGATTGATATATCGCATGAAACTATCAAATAATGGATATTTTCATTCGGTTGTTTGTGCCAACAGATACCCTGCTAATCCAAGCAAACTTAAGTTAGGCCTAAATTTGATTCTAAATAAATCTTAAACATGTAAATATTGTTTAGTTTAGTAGTTATTTCATAGTTTATAAGACAATCAGTATTTTTTTATGTATTGACTTAGCCAATGCATTAATGTAAATCTGGCCAAATAAGTTTAAATGACTTATGACTTATTCATTTATTACATATATTTAAGTTATTTGGATGGTACTTACTTAGGCTAACTGTAGGCCTACTAGGTTATTGTAGGCCTAACTCAGAAATCAGTTCACCGAGATTTAGGTATATTAGGGGAACTCATAAAAACACTTGAGTTGGTTTTAAAAACTATTTAACTTAACCCTTTGAACTCTTAAGACTTGTAATACTATTTTCTCAAGTCTCGCATTTTTGTGGACCTCTCTGGTCCTTCTTCTATTACTTCAAGGCTTTAGCTAACATAATAGAATGCTAATAAGGTAATGATGATAATAATAATAATATTGATTTCATATCTTAAACAAATGTAATTTCCAATCTAAGTCCTTTTAAACAGCAGCCTAACATTTGCAAACAAATCTGCCAAATGAATTGAACAGTCTGTTTATGAAACGGTCTTTTAAAAGTCTTTCATACTTTTAGGGAAATCAAGACTACACTGTTTTCATAGTTTTATATAGGATAACTGTAAAAGCTGAAAATTATTTTACCGCAGCAAGTTTGAATGTGAAATGTTTTCTTGTATGACGAAAATTCTTGTTATTAAGTTTTGAGATGTGTTTCCTGTACCGGTACCTATGTTCGCTTTTACCTACCTCCATAATTAACTTGTAATTAACACACAGATTATCTTTTAGCGAATTTCCCATATAGGGAATAAGCTATTACCGTAGTACTCATGGTAAGACCTGGACCCGGGACCGATTTTTTTTTTCGTTTTGAGGTCCCTAGAGGCCAAAAACACCATCCGTTCAAATTCATATATATATATATATATTTATATATATATATACCTATATATATATTTATATATATATATACCTATATATATATTTATATATATATAGATATGTACATGGATGTTAAGTGGACAAAATTTATATACAAAGCTGTTAGGAGGACAATTGCTGTCCTCTTATTAATAAGAAGACAGTCCTCTTAACATCCTTGTATATAACATGTTGTGTCCTTATAACAGCCTTGTGTATGGCAAAAAAGGCATACCAATACACTTGTAGGAAAATGAATTTCCCAACTAAATCCCATACATTTTAAATGGGTCTGTCCCCTGAACAGCTGTGTGTATAAATTCCAAATATGTGTCCTCATAACGGATTTGTGCTTACCAAAATATCCTGTGTTTTTATAAACAAATTGTTGTATTTAATATTTTATCTAATTAACTATACAGCACGATGTGTAACTCACTCACTGATCAGGTATACAAGTGTTTGGGCACTCCTAGACGGGCTAGGAAGTAGAAATTTGGCACGATGACAGGTCTCTGCCCCAAACCATGAGGAAAATTCACAAAAGTGACAATTTCGCATTTCAACATCCCCCCACAAAAAAGTATGTGTTTCTTGAAACGTCTGTTGCGGCATGTATTAAAATTTTACAATTATTTTTACGCTGCATTATTGTTTTTGATCAAAAGCTGGAACCGACGTAGTAGGCCTGTATATTAACCGCTTTGCCGTACCTCTTACCGTTTCCGAGACCACTCTTACCGTTATCACCTGGGGACCGAGCTTTGCTCGAAGAAAGTCATTAGTATACTCTGAGAGCAGAGTTTTGTCACTACCGTTCATCCAAATCAAATGTTGCAGTCTATTTGCAGCCAATTAAAATTGGCTAAAAATAAAGTTATAAAAAGTCCTCATAACTTTAGAACGGATCAAGATTTTTAGAAACTAATTGCGGCATTGTAATTAGCGTAAAATTCTAGTTTGAAACAATGGGTCACAACCCTACCTTTACATTTGAAAAAAAACTTTGTATCCAATAATGGCGGATCCAAGATTGCGCCCAAAAATGTATACCCAGTCAAAACGAAGTACTTACTACACTACAATGATCTGACGTGGTCCGAAGTTGATATCTTAAAAAATGTAGAAAACAGTAGGGCTGGGGAACTCATTTAAAACTCACATTGTATTATTAAAAACATTTGGGTTTTCTTTTCCGAAATTTGTTTGGCTCTTCTACCCGGCCGATTTTCATTATTTAGGTCTCAAATTGAAGGTATGCACGCACAGATTTCACATCAAGTATCAACATATATATATATCTACATTCCTACTCGGCTTATACGTAAACGAAATTTGCTCCCCATATATTTCTTATGGGAGTACAGTTTGGTTTTTCTTTTCCGAGTTAGTTTGGCTCTTCTACCCGACCGATTTTCATGATTTAGGTCTCAAATTGAAGGTATGCACGCACAGATTTCCCATCAAGCATCGGCATATATCTATCTACAGTCCCACTCGACTTATACGTAGGCGAAATTTGCTCCCCATGTATTTCTTAAGGGAGTTAAACCTGGTTTTCTTTTCCGGGTTCGTTTGGCTCTTCTACCCGACCGATTTTCATGATCGAGGCCTCAAATTGAAGGTAAGCACAAACAAACTTCCTATCAAACATCGGCATATATTTTTCTGCAGTCTCACTCGGCTTATATGTAAACGAAATTTGCTCGTAAAAGTTTAATTATTTTTTGGATATGATATTTATTTCAACGCTGCGGAGCAGCATGGGTCGGGGTAGCGGATTTCTACCCCCGGATATTTACCCCCATGAAAAAACGCCTACGTCATTTTGACGTCACGAGGGGTGGGGCCTATACACGGTCGAGAAATAGCCCGCGACTGGAAATTTACCCCCAATATATTAATAAATAATCAACATGTAATTGTTTTATTATAAAGTGATTTGCCACAGCAAGGAAATCTACCCCCGGACATTTACCCCCGGATATCTACCCCCGGAAATCTACCCCCGGACAACTACCCCCAGACATATACCCCCGGACATCTACCCCCGGACATCTACCCCCAGACATCTACCCCCGGACATCTACCCCCGGACATCTACCCCCGGAAATCAACGGCTCTTCGGTTAAGCATTGTCTTGTAATATCCAGTATAAAGCATGCGATATGTCATTGTCTTGTTTACCATTATCTATCTTCCTAATTCAATAATCTGTAACAGTCCTTTTCCACCCGACCTACTTCAACGATTGTTACGATTGAGGTGTCATATTAAAGCTTAAGATCTTGCGCAGAGCAAAATGGTCATTAAAAAGGATATTTTGATTAGAGCTTCAAAAGGTTGACCCCTAAGCCTTTGATTTATTTCTAGAAGGTGCTTCCAATGGTTGACCAACTTTCACACTACACAGTAACAGTTTTAAAGGTGAAATGTGAGCAGATTACTAATCAGTTCAATTTTTAAGTCAGGTTGAAAACCAGAATAGATCGTCTGCAACTGTAAACAAGAGATGGAACACTACCCCAAAACGACTTTTCGTTGTCAATTGGCCCTCTATCAATGACCTGTGTTGCCTGTACAGCGAGGCATTTTGAGAAGGAGAAAATCGGCTGGATGAATGCTTTAGGTTTATCAATAACGAAGATAAACATGGTTTTAGTTACACACCAGTAATCTTTGAGTTGACTCTTTTAAACTCATTGTAAATATCCATTGTTATTAGTTTTTAAATAACTCCTTTAATACTTTGCAATTGCTCGAATTCGAGCAACATGTACACTAGTTACATATAATTGCACTTACGATTTATTTGATCCGTTTATTTACGTGAGTCACAACGTTTTTAATCTTACTTGGTTTTGGATTTTATTACAAAACTTGATCGGAAATGGTTGTAGTATTTGTAAACAAAATGTAATAACAAATTTCCAGTGACAGCTAGAAAAAATCATCTTTATCCAGCTTTTCATCTTTCACAGCTGTTCGTTATTTCATAGATGTCGTATTCTCCAAACAAATTATTAGTATTTCATAAATTACTGGCAAACATTAGGAGTAGTCTAAACTTGACAAAAATTCAAAAAAATTGGGGGTTTGAACAAAATTTATTTTAATTCAAAAGTAGTGAGGCCATATTTTAATGGCTTAGTTATTCGTGTCAATCCACCGAATCCAAAAAGACTATTTAAATCGAATCACGATCG